TTTCCCCCAGCCCAGAACATTCAGTTTCTGGTCCTACATGACAGCATCTCATAGTTCTCCCAAACATGACTATTGCACCATGATTTTTATTTTATTTTATCAACAATTTAATCTTAGTAAACTTACGCAGGCACTGTGGGATCTCTCCCCTCCACTCTCCTCGCCCTTCACATGACAGGATAGCAGAATTGGAAAGGGTGATACCCATCAGCACAACTGTAACTTAGACTTGATCCCCAGTGGAAATCGGATACTTTTCCATACACCACCTGGTGGTGGTCCACATGTGATAGCTAATGAAACAAAAAAAGAAAAGATTTTTATCGGGGGTGGAATGTAAAAACTGAACAAGATATCTTTATAAGCCTTTGTCAACATGGTGCCACCCAGATATTTTGGACTACAACTCTTGTTTTATTCTACTTTTTTTCTGAGAACGGTTAAGCTGAGAATCTGTAACTTGAATTTTTGTCAGCTAATTAAAGCCCAAACCTTTGCAGATGGGTTTAGTCTGGTTCCAGGTGCCATCTTTCGTACAGCGTATGGTGGATGCACCAACAGGTTCCATTAGGTACCCTGGGTTGCATTGATAGGTGACCGTCTTATTAAAGGTGAAATCCCTTCCAAAATGGATGCCATTTGACAATTCACCTGGATCTCCACAACTGATCACTAGGGTTAGAACATAAAGAGGAAACATGTTTTATTTTAAAATAAAAAACAAAAAAAAACTATATCTTGCATAAGTGCACATGCAGAAACAGATATAACAACAGACATCACCTAGGGATCTGTATGCAAGTTTACGTTTATATTCAGGAAGCCCTTGGTGAACCTCAATGTGACTCCTAAACCAATAAAGTTTTAAAAATGCATTTTTCTGTGTATGTCTACGGCGAAGTGGAGGCATGTGTTCCTGAAGCACAAATATAATCAGGGGCTTCTAACAGTGCATAGAAGCGTAGAAGAAATGTTACTGGATTAGGAGATGTTCTGATCCTCAAAAACGAGTTGTGCTCACAAACTGAAGCAGCCCCCTGTTGCCCAAATCTATGTAAATATTGCACAAACACACCTGTACAAACTCTAAGTCACATTTCCTGCATTATTATACATTTTGGGAGTTCTACTGCATGTATTTTTCTGATTTACTCTGTAGGTAACACGTCCCCATTACACAGGCATACACTGTAAATCCCAAATCTGGATTGTTTCCAGTACAGACTGAAATAACAGAAAGGATAATTTTATAAAACTGCTGTTACTCAGATTATAAAACTGCTGTTCCTCAGAAGCCATGTTGCTTAATGATAAAAGAGTAACAGTGCCAACAAAGAAAAAATTTGATTGGTATGTAATTTAAGCATTCATAGATGTATACTGTATTGAGTCAAAAAGGTAATTCACTCAATTTACTTTCATGTATGTTGTTGCAAAAACGTTACAGGTAGGACCAAGAAATTTCTCTGCAGGGCAGCCATATAGGTGTGCTTGCAGAAAAATAAGCCTTACAGCACAATCATATTATGCATGTTTACCTGGGAGTATGTCCCAGAATGTCAGCGTAGTTTACTCACTGCAAATATAAGGGTGAGGTAACCTATGGTTGCGAAGTTAAACAAACTTGCTTGGAAGTAAGCTTCAATCTCAATGGGATTTTCTTTCGAACAAACATACTTAGGACCAGGCTCCATATGTGGAGATGAATAAGAGTATAATTTACTGTGCCCTCCTTTTTTGAAGAAAACACTTTTCTTCCTTCTACAAGGATAGCACATCTATTTTCAGTCTTTAAGCATATTGTTAACAGGGCGTCAGTTCCCAACCTGTGCAGTCTGGGGCAGAGCCAGTCCATGTCCCGTTGGCCGTACAGTGTCGTGTAGTTAGTCCTGAAGTCTTGTAACCTTCCCAGCAGGCATAAATGACTGAGCTAGAAAATGAAATTCCGTCATTGAAGACTATCTTGCCATTGGCTGGTGTCCAGGATTGCCACAAGATACAGCTGTCAAAAGTGGGGAAGACAGGAAAAGCAAAATAAAGTAAATTTGATTTCTCCTTTAAACTGACGCAGGATAAACCCTGGGAAACCAAAGCTTTTCAGTTGTTTAGTTTGTGGTGAAGTTATCAAAATATGCATGCCCTATATTGGGCTTATCTTACCGTTCTACTTCATTATTGGCAGAAGGTAAAACATATATCCCTTTTGCATGCATTAGTAAAAATGGGGCACGAAGAGAGAGGGGGAGAAATAATTGAAGGTGGGAGGTAGTCAAAGCACTGGGATGTTTGTTCATAGACATCTCCTCTTTTTAAAGATGTAGTCTTAAATATGCATTGAGAGAACTTGCACCAATTTGCCCCCAGAAATGGATGGGGTGATTCTACAAGGTGAAACCAGTGGTTAGTGTTCACATGCTAGGTTTTTGCACAACTGAATTCTCCATTAAAGGGGGAATTCACTTTCCTTGCAGTATTCCTTGAGATTATCTGTTTCAGTTAGACAGCAGCTTGCCTTTCACACAGTCTCACTCCTAATATAATTTGCTCATGAAGGTTACAGCTCCAGCCTATTGTATTGAAAACAGGCTCAAGTACGGTTCCCTGCAAATGGTTTTGCTGTGAGGGAAGGAAAGTGAAGATTCGTTCTGTTTCTTGCGATTACAGTTGCCTAAACCTGAGTCATGTCAGGTAAGACTGAGCCAAAAAGGGGCCCCAGCTAAGGTCCTTGAGTGGGATTTTTGATAAATCAGCTTTTCTGTTAAGAGCTTGAGGGTTCAGAAGATTAAATTAACTCAGTCTCCAGGTGGATATTAGACTGGAGGAACTACATTGGTAGCAACAGCAATAAAGATATCTGTGTTAGGGAAGAAACCCTCTTTTGGTGCAAATTGCACATGTATGTGCATGCAGTCACAAATACAATTTGAGCCAATAGGTCACTATCAGTTTAGTCCCAGTTCAGGTATTTAACTATACTGGCATTTTTCACATCATTCTCCAATCAGATTTTTTAAATAATAATAAAAAAATACTTCCTAATATGAATGTAAAACGAAAGAGGGGAAAACCCAACCCACATTAGCTACAGTGTACAACCAGAGACTTTTCTATGTTCTCTTTCGAATTAGTTCATAGGATGCTCAAAATGCACTTTGTAGTAACTCATACAAAAACGCCCACAGAAACACTGGTATTTAAATGCACAACATCAATTCTATATATGAAAGAACGGTGAAACGTTCTGCTGGTGAAAAACAAGCTGTAAGCTGTGGGAAGATGGATTACTGGCTAGAAAGGAGAACAGGTGCTTATAATAAATTAAAATAGGAGAGGTTCATAATCACTTGTGTATGTGACCTGTGTGTGTACTGAGGTGGTTTTTTTTTTTTTTTTTTTGGCAGGGAGAAGAAAGGTGAATGAAGGACAAAATGTGAATCCAGATCAAAACTTGCCTGTAGCTCTTATTCTTAACTTATGATACATGCAGGCCTTCTTGGATTCTGTTTCACTTTCCTGAGGCAAATGCCTTCCCCACATTGCCTGTGAGCTTAGGCAAGACAATAAACTTTTCATTAAACCACGGGTGAGTAATTGGCAGCCTGTAGCCACATCCAGCTTGGAACAATGTCTTTTAAGATATTGTGAGACTATTGGTTGTGTTTTCTTTTTCCTAGCCCTAATGGATGGTACTTAAGAGAATGTGGTAGACTTCTTTCCATCAGAAAGTTTACATCAGATTCACATTACAGCAAAGTTCTGGCGGCTAACAGATTGAGGTTGAATCCTGACAAGACAGAAGTACTGTTTTTGGGGGACAGGGAGCGGGTTGGTGTGGGGGATTCCCTGGTCTTGAATGGGGTAACTGTGCCCCTAAAGGACCAGGTGCGCAGCCTGGGAGTCATTTTGGACTCACAGCTGTCCATGGAGGCGCAGGTTAACTCTGTGTCCAGGGCAGCTGTCTACCAGCTCCACCTGGTACGCAGGCTAAGACCCTATCTGCCCGCGAACTGTCTCGCCAGAGTGGTGCATGCTCTAGTTATCTCACGCTTGGACTACTGCAACGCGCTCTACGTGGGGCTACCTTTGAAGGTGACCCGGAAACTGCAATTAATCTAGAATGCGGCAGCTAGACTGGTGACTGGGAGTGGCCGCCGGGACCATATAACACCGGTTCTGAGAGACCTGCATTGGCTCCCAGTACGTTTCCGAGCACGATTCAAAGTGTTGGTGCTGACCTTTAAAGCCCTAAACGGCCTCGGTCCTGTATACCTGAAGGAGCGTCTCCACCCCCATCATTCAGCCCGGACACTGAGATCCAGCGCCGAGGGCCTTCTGGCGGTTCCCTCACTGCGAGAAGTGAGGCTACAGGGAACCAGACAGAGGGCCTTCTCGGTAGTGGCGCCCGCCCTGTGGAACGCCCTCCCATCAGATGTCAAAGAGATAAATAATTACCTGATATTCAGAAGACATCTTAAGGCAGCCCTGTTCAGGGAAGTTTTTAATATGTAACGCTGTACTGTTTTTAACACTGATTGGGAGCCGCCCAGAGTGGCTGGGGAAACTCAGCCAGATGGGCGGGGTATAAATAATAAATTATTATTATTATTATTATTATATTATTATTATTATTATTATTGATCAACTTAGAGATAAACAGTTTCAAATCCACAACAGTAGTGATGATTTAGCAGACCACCATACTTCCATTATTTTGTTTTACTTCCATACTTTTTAAAGACTGTTGCACATTTTGCTACAATATTGTTTATATAGTATTGCATTAAAGGTAAAAAAAAATGGTAAAGCACCCCTGAATGGTTAAGACCAGGCAAAGGCGACTATGGAGTATGGCACTCATCTCGCTTTCAGGCTGAGGGAGCCAGCTTTTGTCTGCAGACAGCTTTCCGGACCATGTGACCAGCATGACTAAACTGCTTCTGGTGCAATGAGACACTGTGACGAAACCAGAGCGCACGGAAATGCCGTTTACCTTCCCGCCACAGCGGTACCTATTTATCTACTTGCACTTTGATGTGCTTTCGAACTGCTAGGTTGGCAGGAGCAGGGACAGAGAAACAGGAGCTCACCCCATCACGGGGATTCGAACCGCCGACCTTCTGATCAGCAAGCCCCAAAGGCTCAGTCGTTTAGACCACAGCGCCACCCGTACATTGTATTAACAGGTGTGGGACTAATAAAAGAGAGTGGTAAACCTGATCAGTTCTATTAAGAACCAAGATTGAAATAAAGCAAGTAGTTAAATGTACTTTCAAGCACAAACAATAGCTCCAAGAACACCAAGTATCATATTTATGCAAATGTAGCTATACAGTTGCAATTACATGAGTTGAATCTGATACTGACCTTCACATACTGGCTGCAAGCCAGACCAAGATCCATTAAGGAGGCATGTTCTTTCTGGGAACCTCTCAGCTGATAACCCATTTCGCAGGAAAAACGTAGCAGGCTTTTTATCTTGAACTCATCCCCAAGTCTGGACCCATGGGATGGCACTCCAGGATCATCACAATATCCCGGGTTGTTTCCTGTAAATGCAAAGTATCAAAGGGTCATTATCAGGAGGCGACAGCACAGTTTAGTGTCAATCGGCTAACGACCAGCCAGGCATCAGCTCCACTTCAAATTCTGTGTGTCTTTGAGGTGTGCCCCAAAGGCACGTTACAAAACACAAGACGTCAAACAAATATTCTTGCCCAAGAGCCACAATAGACCGGGTCAGCCTACCAAATACAGGTTTGATCAACAGAGACTTAACAATAATTTAAGTTAATATAGGTCTATGTCACAGTGAATATAATCAGAGAAGAGCTGAAAATTCCATGTCAGAACTCTTCTGCAAAAGATGCTGGGTTAGAAAGAAGGTGTGCCTGCCCAGAACCTTTTTCCTGTGTAGGAAAAGTGCATGTAGAATGTGTTTTTGCTTTTGTTTAAAAGCCAGACTAATTATATGCACAAATAGATATATTATACCTATAATACCTAGACAAGAGTCAAGTCCCATTTGGTACTATATTTCTACAGTATCATTTTATAAATATTTGTATGCAGTTATATGCACTGTTGTGTTGATTACATTAGGAAACCTGGAGTGTATATACCAGTAAATATAATAATGCATATATGAGAATTGCTTAAAAAAACAAAACCTAGCAGAGCCGGTAAACATACAATCCACTCATTGCTGAGATCATCTTCTCTCCTCATTCTAATGGCTTCATGAAGACCCCAAATGAACTGAAGAAAAATCATATCCAACAGCAGCATGAAGGATACAAACATTAGTGATATGTCTGTACAGTGGTACCTTGCGTTACGTACTTAATGCGTTTCGGAGGTCTGCTCATAACAGGAAACCGCTCGTAACATGAGGCATGGTTTCTCTAACGGTGCCTCCCGCACTGTGACTTCCGCTCGCACCCCGGGGTAAAGGTTGTAACGAGGGGCAGAGCACGTAACCCGCAGCATTCGTAAGGGGGATGGTACGTCACACGAGGTACCACTGTATACAAAAAGTGTACTTCACTTGATCTTCCAAAATCAGGGAGTATCTTTAGTATCTAAAGGCACTCCTAGTTATTGGCTACTGAGCCATATAAAGGTAAAGGTACCCCTGGCCGTTAGGTCCAGTCGCAGACGACTCTGTGGTTGTGCGCTCATCTCGCTCTATAGGCTGAGGGAGCCGGCATTTGTCCGCAGACAGCTTCCAGGTCATGTGGCTAGCATGACTAAGCCACTTCTGGTGAACCAGAGCAGCGCATGGAAACACCATTTACCTTACCGTCGGAGCGGTACCTATTTATCTACTTGCACTTGACGTGCTTTCAAACTGCTAGGTGGGAAGGAGCTGGGACTGAACAACGGGAGCTCACCCCATTGCGGGGATTCGAACTGCTGACCTTCCGATCGGCAAGCCTTAGGCTCTGTGGTTTAGACCACAGAGCCACCCGCGTCCCTACTGAGCCATATAACACACTCTAAATGGATGCTGGGTTAAGGAAGAAACTTTGGAGACAACATGTATCCCTACAGACCATAGATGGACTCAGCAAGAGATCATCCTTCAGATACAAAAAGGTGTTAAAAGAAATCACTGTTATAACGGGAGTGAACGGCTAACCAAAGAGCAACTGAGAGCATAAAATCTGACTTATTAAACTTCACTTGCATTAAAATCTGCTGCAAGGGAATAGTTTTAATAATTTCAGCTACAAGGTCACATTAAGTCAATGCTTTCAAAGGTACCTGAGCAGTGAGGGAGAGTTCCACTCCAGCGGCTGTTTTCTTGGCATGCTCTAGTAGAGTTTCCTATGAGAGTTCGACTTCCTGTACAAGAGTAGCGAACTATAGATCCATACGTAAATTTGTCCCCTGACAGAATTGCATTGGTTGGGACTCCAGGGTGCCCACAAGAAATTGCTACAGTGCGGAAAAAATAGGATTAGCATTTATAGCTGTTCATCTTCTGAAAGACAGCAATTGAGCCTTGTAAAGGTTTATAAATATAACATTACAATTCTGCACAATAAACATGCAATTGTATGAATGAATCATTGCTGTTCGTTTCTCTTGGTGTCCTTTTCATCTGTTCTTCACAAACCTCGGAGTGCAGGAAACAAATTAATAGAGAAGCAGATTCGAACTGTGATGAAACAGATCTGCTACAAGTAGGCCCAGGCATGATATAGTTCTACAATTCTTCCTACCTGGGCCAAAATGACGTTCACAAAACCATTTTAAAATCTTAACTAAGCAAACTAAATCGAGGCCCATAGAAATCTGGGTCTTCAAAAGCAAGTAAACAAAAAGACTTAGTTTAAATTTGAGCTTGGGTAAGTTCTCAACCAGAGCTCTGGGTTTGAGAAGGAAAATTGTATGGGAAAAAAATCAGCTGTGTTGACCTTCTGTTCCTGGTAATGGCTGGTATACTATTGCACACAACAGTAGATACCTTGTTAAGGAAATTCTCCCGAGTGCAGAACAAAATTCAGCATACCGACATTGTTAAATCAATTATTTACATGCACTTCGGTGATAACTGATGCTTCCTGGCCTTCTGATGAAAAAAATAAAGTAAAAATTCAGTTTGTTGCAAACTTACGCAAACATTTGGGCAATGATCTGTCCCAAAAACCATTAGCTTTACAAGTCAGAGCAGACGATCCAAGAAGATAAAATCCTTTCTTGCAGTGGTACACCACAATGATTCCATACTTGAAAGACTCTGGGAAATTCTGCTGCCCATGGCGAACGGCATTTTCCACAAAGCCTGGATCTGAACAGTTCACCACTGAAATACAAGGTTTTTCACTACTGAATGGAAAAATTCATAGAAAATATTCATGGCATGCAATGTACAATTCAGTGCTACTTTAAGCTCAATAGTACAGCCATTAATTAATGCCAAATACATTGGATTCGACATTTTGCTGGTAGATGGATTTCCACAGCCAATCACTAAAGCTTTACATATGCAAATAAATATACAATTTCTGTTAACTTGATAACTGCGGCATTTTTATTTGGCACAAAGAGTGTCGTGTGCATTAAAACAGTACATAAGTGGTATGATCCCTTACACTTTAGCACAGAGAAAGCTGTGGTCAAAGTAAAGGTTTAAGACCCATAAATAATAGTAGTGGTGAGTGATACACTAAAAGAGGAGAAAGGCTAAAACATCGATGGTGTATTAGTTTAGATCAGGCATCCCCAACCTTCGGCCCTCCAGATGTTTTGGACTACAATTCCCATCATCCCTGACCACTAGTCTTGTTTGCTAGGGATGATGGGAGTTGTAGGCAAAAACATCTGGAAGGCCGCAGGTTGGGGATGCCTGGTTTAGATAAACAATGGTGAGGTTGGATGAAATTGCAAATGATGTGGAGGGAGAGATGAGGGAAGCAGTAAGAAGCAGAGATAGGATAGTTGGGAGCACATGGACAAACTCATAGCAAACAGGGCAGGAAGAGGAAATAAAGCCGCACACTGAGAATCAGGAAGGTATTGACGTATCAGCGAAACAAGAATTAGGCACACTCAAGCCCCACTGATTTCAGTGAAATGCAAGTGTACACAGCAGTGCTTCGGATTTAGTACACCTGTGTGTGGAGTGGGCTACCTCACCTGGAAAGGAGGGCAAAAATGTACATAAAATGTGCATACATTTTGTGTGACATGCAAAAGTGTACTCTATTTTGTGAGTGGGGAGGAAGGCCTCCAAATAAACCAGGGACTGTACACAATAATATATCTAATAGACAGAGTGTCAAAAGGTGAATTTCCTCCCCATGGATATATTTTCATGCTAGAAAAGGATGCTTAAAGGCACAAGAGCCTTGCTTTCTTCCAATGCCCAACTCAAATCACCGAGAAAACCTCAAGCTGTAGGAGTTGTGAACCTGTTAATTCAAGACTAGAAGCTTACAGCAGCAACTAAAAAAGTATCTGTTTCAGTTCTCTGTAATCAGTTAGAGCAAGCATTCAGATGTTTGGTCCAAAAACACCCCCAGTAAAATCTGATGACCAGAGACTTGTATAAGGCTACCTAGACACTACCTGTTTACTTTGCCACTGAGCTGAAATTCTGCAGAACATAAAAGGTGGAATCCTCAGCAACTGTCAGCTAACATGTAAAGAGGAAGGTGAAATCCTTTTGTTTATTCGGTTACTCGTCTTTAGAAAAAGGATTAAAATCCTGGAAACACTGTCTATAGAGATCATGGCACCGACAAACAAAGCAGAAAGGTGGTTTATGGCTTGATATTTGTCTCCATTTCCCCCCTCTCTCTAGAGAAGGTCCGAGTCTTTTAACACTTGACCTCTTTAGTCGACACTGCTCTAGAGCTGTTTCACAAACTGCTTATGGCTTGCATACACACACACATAACTTCGCCAGTGAACTACCAGCTTCACCTTTTTGTGACTACGACTTGGTTTTTGGCTCATATTCATCTGGTAATTTTACCCCTATACCAGGGGGAACTCTCATAACATGACTGTGACTGTCAGGCTGCAATATGTAAACTTTTTCAACTGACTTGTTGAACTTAAGTTGTTAAATGAGAAAGCACGCCTTGGTTTAAGAACTGTACGGGCCAGTCTTGACAGACTCTGGGGTTGTGCGCCCATCTCACTCAAGAGGCCGGGGGCCAGCGCTGTCCGCAGACACTTCCGGGTCACGTGGCCAGCGTGACAAGCTGCATCTGGCGAGCCAGAGCCGCACACGGAAACGCCGTTTACCTTCCCGCTAGAAAGCGATCCCTATTTATCTACTTGCACCCGGGGGCTTTCGAACTGATAGGTTGGCAGGCGCTGGGACTGAACGACAGGAGCGCACCCGCCACGGGGATTCGAACCGCCGACCTTTCGATCAGCAAATCCTAGGCACTGAGGCTTTAACCCACAGCGCCACCCGCGTCCTCAAATAGGTTAGACTTCTCCAAATTAAAAAATTCTTACAAATTTCCAAATGGATGGAAAGGGTGGTAGGAAGGGTTCCAACTGCATCATACTATCAAGGAAGGAGCAGTTGTACATTTTTTAAAAATAAAAAATCTTACCTCGGCATGTAGGTAAGGAGCTGCTCCACTGCCCATTGCTCCGGCACTGTGCTTGGGAGGCGCCCTGAAGCAATATCCAGTATTGCAGGTGAAGTTCACAACATCATTCAGATTGAACTCACTGCCATTGGTCATTCCGTGAGCGGGGTTTCCAGGGTGGCCACACGTGATTGCTTTTGAAAGGAAAACACAGAACAGATTGCAAAGCTTTTGGGGAGGGCACGCCGAGAACATCAACGAGTTACGCACTCTGGTGCCTCGATCCAGAAAATGTGTTGCGTGCGGAGGGGTTAAATGCACACACAGAACAACCCCATTTGCAATGGCTTCCCCATCAAGGAGGAATCAAGAAAGTATTAATAGAATGGCTGCATCCAACTAAAGCGGAAGCTGAGACACACAGGGACTCCATATGCGTGCACAAAGGGATCTAGATTACAATATAGCCTGCACTGATGGGCAAAATATTTAAGAAGACATAGCATTTTTAAAAACAAACAAATGAACAACTGATAGTAATGAGCTCCTTTTGGATCAGACTGTATTGCCAAGGCTGAAATGTGAAAAATGGAAGACAGCAGATCATGCCATTTTTTGTTTTTGTTTTTACTGCCATAAAATGGTGGTTGAACAAAAGTGATCAGAAATCCAATTTATTGATAGCTGATGTGTGATGGTTCCCTGCCCCACCCGCGCCCCGCCCCCAGGCAGAAAGCCAACTTGTAGGACTCATTTGGGTGAAACTGATGAGACTCTCTGTGGGCGCTGGACATATAACAACCTTAATTTTATAATGGGAAAACAAAAAATGATAAACCATAGTGGTGGTTCTCCCTATCTGTGAGGGGTCACAAGGAGACAGCTATTACGGTAAGTCATCATCTAGGCAAATACAGTTCACAAGAGATAAACACAGCCACAAGACTAAAGTTCAACATTGTCTTTCACTTCACCACAATCACCACTATCTATGTGATATAAATATGGTGCCAACACCATACAGTGGTGCCTCGCAAGATGAAATTAATTGTTCTGCAAGTCTCTTCGTCTTGCGAGTTTTTCGTCTTGCGATGCAGGGTTTCCCATAGGAATGCATTGAAAATCAATTAATGCGTTCCTAGGGAAACCGACTTCAGACCAGGTCCGGGGACAGTCTGTCCCCCGACCTCTTCTGAAGGCTGGGGGGGGGGGACAAGGGCTTTTCTTCCCACCCCCAGCATTTTTAAAAAACCCCGGGACAGCGGAGGACTTCTCCGCTGTCCGGGGCAATCTTAAAATGCTGGCGGGCGGCATTTTAAAATCGCCCGGGACAGCGGAGGACTTCTCCGCTGTCCGGGGCGATTTAAAAGCCCCTGGGAAGGCAGGCAGGGGGGGACAAAGATTTTCGCACACCGCCCGCCTTCAGAAGAGGTCTTGGACCTCTTCTTCTGAAGGCGGGCGGGGGCGAAAGTCTTTGCTCCCCCCTGCCTGCCTTCCCGGGAGAGCGGAGAAAGGCAGCGCGTTTCTCCGCTGTCCCGGACGGCTTTTGAAGGCAGGCGGGGGGAGCAAAGATTTTCGCCCCCGCCCGCCTTCAGAACAGGTCCTTGACCTCTTCTGAAGGCGGGCGGGGGCGAAAGTCTTTGCTCCCCCCTGCCTGCCTTCCCGGGAGAGCGGAGAAAGGCAGCGCGTTTCTCCGCTGTCCCGGATGGCTTTTGAAGGTCCTGGACCTCTTCTGAAGGCGGGCGGGGGGCGAAAGTCTTTGCTTCCCCCCCTTCAAAAGCTGTCCTGGACAGGCTTCGCGGACCTCTCCGCAAGCAGCGGGAGCGCTCCCGCTGCTTGCGGAGAGTTGCCAGCATGCCGAAGCCTGCGCGCGCTGAGATCAGCGCGCCCAGGCTTCGCGGCCCCGCCGCCCGGCATCGGAGCTTCGTTCCAATGCCGGGCGGCGGGAGGAGGTGTCCCCCACCCCGCCGCCCGGCATCGGAGCTTCGTTCCGATGCCGGGCGGCGGGAGGAGGTCCGAGGACAGTGGGGAAGACGCGCTGCGCTTCCCTGCTGTCCCGGAGATTTCCCTATAGGCTTTCGTCTTGCGAAGCAAGCCCATAGGGAAATTCGTTTTGCGAAGCGCCTCCAAAATGGAAAACCCTTTCGTCTAGCGGGTTTTCCGTCTTGCGAGGCGTTCGTCTTGCGGGGTACCACTGTACTAGGTGCTATACAGAGCATATAAGCAGCATAGTTCCTACCTTGAGGGCATATTATTATCTGTCCCGGATGTTTGACACCCCCTGCCATTTCTACAGTTCCAAACAGGCAACAAAAACAAGAGCTTCTGGTTGCCTTCCATTGCTGGTGGGTTGTGTTGGGTTTGGTGGTTTACAAGTTGTGTAGACTTGGAAATATAACAACTTTTCCTCCTTGTGTGTGTGGTTGTGCATCTCAAAGGGCTTATCCCCAGTACACTCCCCAGCATAGTAAGAGCTATTTTTTAAAGGAAATGAATTCTAAAAGTAGACTATTTCTTAAAACTACTAGAAAATTAGGAATGCTTTAAATATGTAACAAAACAACTCTGTCCAGCTGTCCAGGAGAACAAGCAGATATGATAATGATATTTATATCCAGTTTTTTGTAGTGGTAAACTAGAAAACAGAGGCATATTGCCTTGCAATATGGAGTTCCATCTTTAGCTTTCATAACTGATAGCTGCTGAGTGATCTGCACTCCTGAGTATCTGAATTTGCCTAATACCATATTAAGGGTTTTGTTACCTGACATTTTCTTCACCATGAATCCTACAATTCAATGAGATGCCAGAAGAGATTATATGTGGTATGCTGTTGCAATGCAAAATTGAGGTTGTCTGTAAAAATTGCGGTAGTGAAGGACGCTTGTATTTAGATTATTGTCCTTTTCGGCAAATGCATATTCCACTCAGTCAGTTCCGGTTTACACCCCTCATTACTCTTGACAGATGCTGTTTTTTGTGATGCCTTCCAGAAACAAAAGGTCTCAGCCCTTGTGTCTCGTCTTACCACATCATCATTATTGTTGTCACACATTGCCAACCTCTTGACAGATCAACACTCTGCAATTGTTGTGTTTGCAAGTAAAGGCATATCAGAAAATATGGCAACTGCAATATTCTTCTGTTCCCTTTATGCAACAGCTGCATATTATTTGCAATATTAAGGTGTTTACAAGACTGCCGTAACTGAGTTCAATGTGATAAAATTATTCAACAAGGCCTGGCTATAGCCAGGTTATGGCACCAGTAAAATGTGGTTATCAGTGTGATGTATTTGAAATGCAGTTGCACTATAGAATCATACAATGACATGTTGACACTCGGTAGTTTTATTTATAATCCTGTTCCTAACATGGGAATGCCCTTTTTCTATGGTGGAACTGTAGGAAAGGAGCCATGGCACAAATACACTGAAACGTAGCTGGATTTGGACCTGGTTTACCTAAGCTTTTCAAGCTCAGGATAATTGTATCATTTACATTACTACAGGTAAGAAACACCTGTTCCAACAGTTTTACATGTTTATCTCCAAGATTCTAAAACCAACACTTATATGGTTATTGGTTTAGTTTCTCAAATATCATCAAGAAGCTTAATATTTAGCCTTCCTGGCTTATACACAAAATGAGGAACATATGCACTGGTAAACTAAAACATATTTTACTGAATTAACTACTTTTTTAAAAAAAGAATGCACTGACATACATAAAAATGACACAAAATCATGAAAATAGTTCAACAGTTTTTTAAAAGAGCAAGATAGCAAGTTTAAATCACACTCTAGTCTTGAAATATAAAGGTAAAGGTAAAGGTACCCCTGCCCGTTCGGGCCAGTCTTGCCAGACTCTAGGGTTGTGCGCTCATCTCACTCTATAGGCCGGGAGCCAGCGCTGTCCGCAGACACTTCCGGGTCACGTGGCCAGCGTGACAAGCTGCATCTGGCGAGCCAGCGCAGCACACGGAACGCCATTTACCTTCCCGCTGGTAAGCGGTCCCTATTTATCTACTTGCACCCGGGGGTGCTTTCGAACTGCTAGGTTGGCAGGCGCTGGGACCGAACGACAGGAGCGCACCCCGCCGCGGGGATTCGAACCGCCAACCATGCGATCGGCAAGTCCTAGGCGCTGAGGTTTTACCCACAGCGCCACCCGCGTCCCCAGTCTTAAAATATAACAGCATATAAATTTATATGCAGTCTTAAAATATAACAGCATATAAATAATATATTGTATTATTTATATGATGTTAACCGTTCTGAGCCCGGCTCTGGCCGGGGAGGGCGCGGTACAAATATTTTTTTAATTATTATTAAAATTTCTATCATTCAAACCTATTATAGTTCTATGATATAATCCTGCTATGGTAGTCTCTAAACCAATGATGAACATTGCATGTCTTTACAAGACATTAAAAAGTATAGAGCTCTGAGTACTTAGCATACATTATTCCAGCAAGCCATACAACAAACACATAAGGCAGGTTAGTGCTACGAACCCTACAGTATGACGGGCATGGTGTCCATTGCCCATTAAGTGTATGTGCAAGCCAGGATTTGAACTTGGCTCTTCTAGCTCATAGTTCCCGCTCTAGGTTTTCCAAAAAAAACAACAACCCTGTCCAATTCAACCCTGTCCATAATTCCAAAAGACATTTTGGAATTATGGTAATAGGTACATTTAGCAGCCCAATAACATGCTGCTGACTCTGCATTGCAGGAGAGCACAGGAACAGACATCAGGGTTGAGACTTCAGGCCACATGCTTGGGCAAGAGGCTGATGATACCGCTTCCAAGTCCGGTGCTGAAGCAGCAGCATCAACCAATACTATCATGCAAAGCTGAGCTTGGATTTGTGCTGTGTACACCCACTCCCATTTACTGTACTCTGAATCCCAGTGCACTCCCTGTCGCGAATTCTCTGCGGCGCTTTGGCAGAAATGCTCAGAGTTCCAGGTACTTCAGTGCAGTGCAGTATATTTATTGTGAGCTATATATTTACAAGTGGACGCAGGTGGCGCTGTGGGTTAAAGCCTCAGAACCTAGGGCTTGCCGATCGAAAGGTCGGCGGTTCGAA